TTTTTTTCACATTTTCTTGGATTTTTTTTTGGTTGTTGTTCTCTGATAGTTATTGTATAATCTTCTTGGTAAGTTATCAATGGCAGCAGCTATAGATATGTATGATCCATTCAGAGAAGAGCTTATGGAAGCACTCCAACCTTTTATGAAGAGTGCTTCTTCTTCAAAAACTCTCTCTCCTTCTGATAACTTTCTCTCTCCTCCTTCTCTCTCCTCTCCCACTTCTTCTTCTTCTTCCTCTTCTGGCCATTATTACCCTTTTGTTCAGTCATCCTTTTCCCCTTATTCCAGTGTTTACACCGATTTTGCCCCCATCCCATCAAGAACTCAAATCTTTTCTCAAGGGTTCTTTGATAATTTCACCCAAATGGGAGGTGAGCAGAAATTCAATCCAATTGGCCAAAATCAGTTAAACCCATCTCAGATCTTGCAGATCCAAGCCCAGTTACACCTCCAGCAGCAACAGCTGCAGCAAAATTGCAACTTTGCCCCTCAGAATCCGTATTCGGGCTTTCTTGGCCCGAAGCCCGTTTTGATGAAGCAACCTGGTAATAACCCCTCAAAGCCCACAAAGCTTTACAGGGGAGTAAGACAGAGGCACTGGGGCAAATGGGTTGCTGAGATCAGACTGCCTAAGAACCGAACAAGGCTGTGGCTCGGAACGTTCGACACGGCCGAGGACGCAGCTTTAGCTTACGACAAAGCAGCTTATAAGCTGAGAGGTGATTTTGCAAGGCTCAACTTTCCTCACCTCAAGCTCAAGTTGAGTCAAGATTCGAGCTTTAAGCCTCTGCACCCCACTGTTGATGCAAAGCTCGAAGCCATCTGTCTAAATATGGCCAAGCAACAGGGGAGTATTGAAAATATATCTAAGAAGCCCCGTTTGGGTTCTTCTGATGAAAAGCCCGAAGTTCCGAAAGTTGAATGTAATTCGTCTAGCGATTCCTTTGACCAGGCCGTGAAGGTGGAGCCCGAGGTGTCGTGTTCGGTCTCTCCTGGGCCGTCAGATGAGGTTTCATCGATGGTTGGATCTGGTTCGCCGGAGTCGGACATCACGTTTTTGGATTTCTCGGAGCCTTTTGATGGGTATGATAATTTGTTGTTGCAAAAGTATCCTTCTGTTGAGATCGATTGGGCTGCTCTTTAATATTGAATATTAGTTCAAAAGCATATGTAAGTTTTATATGTAAGTTTTATGTAGGATCTAAGTATGTGTAGAGTCAATTTGTGGCCTCTGCAATGGGATTTTTGACATATGCAGAATGGTCTTGAGGTTGTGTTTATAGTATGTATGAAGATCTCTTGATACTTGGTCTGCTGGTGGTTTTTTGTCCATGCTTGACCAGGGGAGATTGTTGTTGGGTATTAATGTAGTATGTTTACTTTCTTCTTGTAGCTTGTATAAATTTGTGGTGTGTGATCTTTTGTTATCTTGTGTGTGGTGCAGATGGTTTTTTTTTTTCATTTTTCGAATAGTTAAAAAACATTTGTTATTTAGATCATTGAATTGTTTGTGGTATAGTAAGAGCAGACCAAAATGAATAATTCTAAGTGCAAAATCCGTTTTTGGGATTTGAAAGCAAATGCGATGCAAATTCGCATGCCCCCTTTGGTTATTCGGAATTAATTAAAAACATTAACCAAAAATTTGAAGTGCAAATTCCTCCCAAGCATGAGTCAGACCGTTGGGTCACGAATGGCATCTGACTCAAGCTCTGGTGACCTAAAAGCTCCGGTGACCTACAAAACAAGGGATCCGGCGGAATTGGGTTAGAAATTCCTCCCAAACATGCAACGCTCTAGTTAGAGATTCGAATTTTACAGGTAACCATCTTATATAAAGAAATTGTCTTATGCCTCAAGTCGTTCTGTTACTAGGAAAGATGTTGCATCTCATTTTCTAGTATGATACGCCTTCTGGATTTCATGTCCTTCTATAACATACAATTCTCATAGCAGCGGAATTGGGTATATTTCACAACATAGAATACTGGATGAATAGGTCGTAACACCGACGTAATGACCTCTTTGTTGTCCATTTGCTGAGCTCCTCAACAAGGTCGGACCCCCATTTATGAGTTGCCATTGAGTCGACTGCCACGTTCCTCGACAAGGTCCATATCATCGTCCACTCGAACCTGGCACTAGAGTTGATAACTCTTACTCGATTTGTCGAGCTTATGCATGTGCTTTATCATCTAGGCCCTATTATCGAACGAGCTACAAAGGTCATTTGATAATTTCATCATTGTCGGCCGAGGCGCTAGGCGGCACCTAGGTGCCACAAAATTTGCCTAGGTGATCGTACAAGTCGCTCCGACGATTAGGCGGTACCTACGCAAGCTAGCGCTCGCGCCTAGAGAGCTAGTCGCACGCCTAGGTGGTCGTAGTGGCGTCTAATCGTCCATATATATATATATATATATATATTTATCAATATTTTTAGTTTACTTCTAAACAAATAAAAATAATTTTAATTTTTACAAATAAAATTTATATCAACTATACAAAAAATTATAATAAATATTTTACAATTAATACAGTAAATATTAATAAATATTTTACAAATAATAATGAGGTATGATTTGTAAGATTGTAAAATATGCAAGTAGTATGAAAAAGTTGACGTGGAAAAAAAATATTATTTTAGGATTACTCTTTAATACTCTCTCATATTTTTAATAAGTGTCATTTTTGAGAAGCCACACACTAATTAAATTTTTTTTTTT